CCAAGCCCTGTCTCGAAGCATCGCTGAAGATAGTGAAACTCCGAGAAGGAGTGGGAATAGTCAACACCGGTGCTGAAGTTAACCTCCTCTTGAGCTCTTGAAAGCTCGCCTCACAACGATCAGTCCACTCGAACTTCACAGACTTCCTCGTCAGCTGGGAAAGAGGGAGGGCGATCTTGGAAAAGCCCTCGATGAACCTGCGATAGTAACCAGTTAAACCGAGAAAACTGCGAACCTCGGACGGACTCCTCGGTGTCGACCAGTTCTTAACTGCTGAAACCTTGGAAGGATCCACCTCGATGCCTGCCTGAGTAATCACATGACCCAGAAAGGATACTCGCTGAAGCCAGAACTCGCATTTGGAGAATTTTGCGTACAACTTTTCTCGTCTGAGGGTTTCGAGAACCACCCTCAGATGCTCTTCGTGCTCCTTCTGGCTCTTCGAGTAAATAAGAATATTGTCAATAAAGACAATAACGAACTGATTGGGGTAGGGATGGAAAATACGATTCATGAGGTCCATGAAAACAGCTGGCGCATTGCTGAGACCGAAAGGCATGACAACAAACTCGTAATGGCCGTAACGAGTCCTGAAAGCGGTCTTAGCGATATCTGACTCCTTAATCTTCAGCTGGTGGTAGCCTGATCATAGATCAATCTTTGAGAACACACAGGCTCCCCTCAACTGATCAAATAAGTCGTCGATCCTGGGAAGCGGGTACTTATTCTTGATCGTTAACCGGTTAAGATCCCGGTAGTCGATACACATGCGCATGGATCCGTCCTTCTTTTTGACAAAGAGAACGGGTGCTCCCCAAGGTGACACGCTCGGCCGGATGAAACCGAGTCGTAACAGCTCCTGAATCTGAGTCTTAAGCTCCTGCAACTCTTTAGGCGCCATACGATATGGGGCTTTGGATACTGGACCGGCCCCTGGAATGTGATCAATAGAGAACTCCACCTGCCGGTTAGGCGGTCCTCCTGGAAGCTCGTCTGGGAACACGTCCACAAACTCGCGAACAACTGGAACATCATGAGGTGTTCGCGCTTTCTGAGAATCATCGACAAGACTCACCAGATAACCCTGGCAGTTGCCTCGTCGCAGTAGCTTAGTGGCTTTCGCCAT